TTTAGGGGTATTTTAGTCAATTTAATTTTTTTTGAATTATTTTTTTATATTTTTATTAGGTGCGTCTCACTAAGATGTACACACGCTCCAAATTTTAGATCATATTTTGATTTGTACAAAAAAAATGAAATACTACCGGACAATCTTGACCATGCGATGAACTGTAGACGGTGATGAGGGTAGGCGAAATCGCAGTTCATTTTCGCCTATAGGCGTTTTGTAGCATCTTCCATATATATATATATATATATAGGGCAATGATTTCATGTTCTGTTGTGTAGTAATATGATGCAACAACCTTAAAAAATCATCTTATGGCCATTTGTTTGATCCAAATTTTGAAATATACACTCTTTTCATTTTAAGGAACAATCACAAAAAAATGAAAACACAACCTAGATAGTATTTTTTTAGCCCAATTAACATTGGCCATTCATTTTGGTGAGATGCTTAGATCTAGGCCTTAGAAGGATTTTTTCATTTTCAATTTTTTTGGATGGATTTATTATCATTAGATGAACAATGTCAAAAAAGAAAAAATGATTTTGAATTTATAAAGGTTAAGATCTTGAAATTCACAAAATGAATGGTCTAGATTCGTTTTTGGAGGGGACTCATTTTGACTATAGCTAGAGTTCAAATTGAACGTTTTTATTTGGGGGATTGATTATTGAGATGAAGAGAGTGTGTGCAAAATTTGAGGTCATACAAATACCATAAACATGGTTTCTAGAAGTGTCGTTGCATTAATCAATGATACAACCGTTGCATTGGATCATTGTTCATATATATATATATATATATATGGAAGCTACTATGCAATGCCTAAAAATGAACAGTATATTCGCCCGTAGGCTTAGTGCAGCCCGATTTTTTCGGACAGCGAGGATTAATGACTGTCATGGATTTAGCATGTTCGTGGCTGTACCCCGTCATGGACATAGCATGTCCATGGCGGTAAAAAAAACATGCGGAAACCGCCACGGACCACGCGCTGTCTGTTGTGGCTCCGTTCAATAAAACGTCACGGGCATAGCATGTCCATGGTGAGGCGAAACATTGTTCAAAATCTCCTATAGGCGTTTTTAGTAGTTTTCTTATATATATAGGAAAAAGTTTATGTAAAGATGCAACCTTTACCTCTACAACTACGGATGCACCTCAAAAATCCATCGGAAAAGATAGTTTTAATGTTGAAAAACCCTTTGATTGATCATCTTCACATCAAGATGTATGGCCATGCAAAATAAAAAGATTTTAAGTATCAGAAATAGTGTATTTTACAGCATATTATCTACATTGTTCATTTTCAAGATTTTCATATGTTTATAGATCTATTTGATTTTAATAATTTTTGAAATTTAAAATTTTATAATTAGATGTAAAAATATATTTAGATGATCCCAAGAACATTTTACATCAAAATTATATACCATGATAAAATTTGAGGGTTCACCTTACTTCTATAGCTACGGATGCATCCGTATGCTAACTGCACCCATATATATATTTATTCATGAAGAATTTCTTAGCATGTTTGAAGGCTTAGGATTAACACGAGGCTGTGAAATGTTTCCTTTTTCTTTGAAGGCGCTGATGGCTTTTATTGAAAATGCACTAGTTATTATTTGTCAGGTACGTTTGATTGACAACTTCAACAAGAAAGGAATGACAAGTCACTGCTATAGAATTGCTTACCGATCAATGGAGCGCTCTCTGACAGATGAGGAGATAAATGAATTGCAGGTAAAGTCTCTACAGCTATACTACGCCAACCTGTAGTCACACATGCCTCGCTCATGCATGCAAGGCAGAATGTGCACTTGCCTGCTCTCTCCTCTCCTTCCCCCCCCCCCCGACCCAAAAAAAAAAAAACAAAACCAGTGGCCAATGTCGTTATTCTGTGAAATGCACAGAGTCTCGTTCCAAGAGATGGTTTTAGATTTTACTTTAGTAGAAGACATGCATAGATTTGAGTAAAGGGAAATGGTTTATTGCTGTGCTCTGGTACATATTTTAAGGATGAATTAACTTTCCAAGGATGAATTAGTTAGATTTTGTTGGTTCTGTATATACTTTCTAATCCTATCAGTGATAATTAGATTGCTCTTGGTTGCAGTTAAATGTTAGAGAGCAGGTGCAGTCGAAGTTGAATGTTGTTCTACGATGAGGTGCTCCACAAACCCGTACGGCTTGTGCCATACTCTATACTGAACCCTCCAAACTCGACCAGTCCTCTTCAAATGAGTCTCGCAGGAGACAATATTGTTCGAAGATAAGCTATTGATAGAATTTCATTTTGTAATCGATATTGTAAATCCATTGATTGACTTGTTAAGTTAATGTGAATTCGAGTTAGGCATGACCTGAGAAGCCTAGTGCATTGAAGTTCACCTTAAAATAAAATATAATTGATGGACTTGCCAACATGCCCGGTATGGTAAACTTCATTAGCATATTCAAGTTTTTGTGCTAAAAAGCGCTTGAATGGGGCCATGGATCACCAAGTCAGTAGAACACATAGCATCTTGATTGGGCAATCCTCCAAGGCATCGGGATTAGTTTTAAGCTCTGTCAGTATGGCCAACGTAAGCCATAGGTTGAAAACCCTCAAACTTTTGAGTTAGCTAACCCTAGCCGGGTCAGTCACCTAGCCCCCAGTGCTAAAAAAAGTGGATCGCCTAGTGCCTAGGCGGCAGTGTTTGTAGTATTTGTATGATTCAAAATTTTGTACACACACTCTCTTCATCTTAATAATAAATCCCTTTTTTCCCTCCTTTTCAAAAAAAAAGTTCAACTTAGACCCTAGATATGATCAAAATGAGTCCTTTCCAATTACGAATCTAGACTATTTATTTGATGAATTTTAGGATTTTAGCGTTTACAAATTCGAAATCATTTTTTTTTTTTTATATTGTTCATCTAATGATAATAAAGCCATCTAAATAAATTGGAAAAAAAAAAAATCCTTTTAAGGCTTAGATCTAATTATCTGTCAAAATGGATGGGGTATGTTAATTGGGCTAAATATATACTTTCTAATTGTGTTTTCAAAATTTTTTTTTTGTGATTGTTCACTAGAATGAAAAGAGTGTATATTTTAAAATTTGGATCAAACAAATGGCCTTAACATGGTTTTTGAAGATTGTTGCATTATATTACTATACAATTGTTGTATCAAATCACTCTTTTTCAACGGTTGTATAGTAATATAATGCAACAATCTTCAAAAACTATATTGGGGCATTTGTTTGACTCAAATTTTTATATATACACTATTCATTCTAATGAACAATCATAAAAAGAAAAAACTGAAATACAACTTAGAAAGTGTTTTTTTTATCCAGTTAGCATCCATTTTGGTAAGATGCTTAGATCTAGGTGTTAGAATGATCTTCTTTTTTTTTCAAAATATTTAGATACCTCTATTGTTGTTAGATAACAATGTTAGAAAATAAAAAATTAATTTTGAATTCATAAAAGCTTAGACCTTGAAATTCACCAAATGGATGGTCTACATTCATTGTTACAGGGGACTCATGTTGACTATATAGGGTGCAAATTAAATTTTATTTTATTTAGATTGATTATTGAGATGAAGTGAGTGTGCATACAAAATTTCAGGTCGTACAAAACCACAAACATAGTTTTTAAAAAGTATGGTTTCATTATACTATAATGACATGTTGACATGATATCATTTCCATATATATATATATAAGCTGGAGATATAGATTTTGGGTTTGATTCTAGAGGTTAGGTAGGCTCGGGCTTGGTCCAATAGAGGTAACGCATGTAGATTATAAAATTTCGAACCTGGACTCAATAGGTGAGTCCTCTATTTATAGACAAAACAATTCTAGGATCACCATTAGTCGTTTTTTATGCAGTTTGGGCCCTTCAAATTCCATCGCAACTCGCACTAGCTTTGGCGCCACTGGCAATGGCACCAAATTAGTATTAATTACCATTAAATGTTGTCGACAAA